CTTAAACGCCCTTTGGTGTACTCTGGTACATCGATTGCCCTGATGGCTGGGGAGGATGAGCTCTCCATGTCGGCGCAGGCTGCAAAGCGTTCATTTCAGGAACTTTGCCGCGTGATTTTGGAAACGCATGCCCGCATAACCCTTAAGCCGATTGTGAGTGTTCCCCAGAAGAACCGTGGGCATGCAGGCAGATCCTCAGGTCCTTGACTTTGAAACCAGCTTCAGCATCCTCGAATGGCGGCGGTCCCGGTGTTGAGCCGATGAAAAGACCAGATGACGTAGTTAACTTGACTGGCTAATTAGTTAACTAACCAACCACTCATTTGAAACAGACGCAAACAGGACAAACAAGGCAAACACCAACTGGTCATAATCTCTGGCTCGATGCGCGACGAGGAATTCCGATCTAGAAAAGGGCGAAGATCTCCATTTTGTCTAGGGCAGGCTTTTTGATTGTGTCACCGGCTCAAATATGTATGTATGTATGTACATACAGTACAATACATACGGAGTACATACCAACTATATCCTTCTCCGACAAGCTAGGATGCAAACCTTGGTATACCCAAGAACCCTCCATAATTGTTGTTTTCTTAGCATATAATGACGATGAAAAGCTCTTCACCTCTGACGTTTTAGAAGAACAATTGCAGCTACGTTTAATGCTCAGTGCCTCAGTGGTATACATCTTCACGCACTACAGTACATTGGGACGGTTTGAGTCAGAAGAACAGGCGGTTGTCTCTCTCATCTATGGCGGATGACTCAGTACCTGAGCAGACTAGCTCATGGCATGTTAGTTACCATTAGTGATGGGATACCCCATCTTACCTGGCGCTACGGCTTTAAGACACCTTCACGACCCAATTGCCAGCTTGATAAACGCTTTATGGCGTTGTCTCTCGCTTGGGAATTCGGCCGAAGCATATCTTACAACCTTGAGATTATCGTTGCGGAGAGATGCGAGCGGAGTTTATTCTCCAAGGCGAAGCATCTACTCAGTTAAATGGTTTTGTCCACACGAAATATGGAATAATTCGGAGGCGACAACACGCTAAAACAGGGGTAGCTCCACTGTTCATGATAAGACAAAACTTGTTGACTGGACATGAAGGATCTACTTGAAAATTTACGCAGCTCCTTTTAATTCTCCCCAGAGAGTTCTTTTATATGTCAGTGAAAAAGAAGGGAAAAAAAAAAAAGAAATCTAATCCAAATTGCACGCAGTGAGGTGTTAAGATTAAGATTAGCATAAAAGACTTTTGAGAACATGCACACAGAACAATGCGAATGTAGGTTGATGAGCGATACACAATTCAACTAACCCTTAGCCCTGACGCTCAAGTCCTGAAGGATAAATTATATCCTACACTTGTTCTCCGAAACTCTAATAATTGCATCTGTCAACGCTGCGCCCACCAGCTGCCTCCCTCGAGCAAAGCGATGTGGCATCATCCGGTAAGATATGCTGACTGGCCGTGTCGAATAACCCATACTAAGTTGACGGTATCCTGGTTCACTCGGGTGGTCTGAGGGGTTTAACTTGTGCGCGGAGTAAGCCCATACTCCGTGGAAAAGATGGAACAGATCGCCAATAAAAAAAAAGGATATCGGAAAGGCCTTGGTATTGGTGATGGATGAGCTGCTTGTCGAACTCCAGCCTAGGATAGATGCGGCTGCTATGTAAGCTTGGGACCGGGCTTAAGAAGTTAGAGCTAGTGGTGGGTATGTGTAAGTTTGTTCTTTTCTTTTTCTTTTTTCTTTTTTTTTTTTTTTTTTTTTTGGAGTATAAATGGCACAGGGGGAAGTGTCCTTTTGACATCTTCGCGGCATCGCGCTGGACAAGACATCACCTAAAGAATGATTAAGAAAGCTCAAGGAACAGTCGAGGTAGACACAACAAAGCTGATATCGATCGTGATACGGCTAGTCTCTACTTATTGCTTCCTTCTTACTCTGTAGACATTCCGGAGCCATCTTTAGGGAGTACGTAAATACCGAACTTGAAGACGGAGGATGCTCAAGCACTGACACGTCCCGAGAATGCACTCTGTCGGCTGCTCCAATCCCAGGAGAAAGGAACAGTGGATCCCAACGGAAGCGCAACGGTCGAATCAGCCATCGAGCCAAACAAGCTTAAAGTTGGGGAAAATCCAGGTCCAATAGCCGGTAGCTTACAGTATCATTCTGGTCCAGCCTGGTGGGTCGGCGTGCTTTGCTGCAGCTCAAACCCACGAGTAACAGACCCTTTCGCGTGAGCTTGTTGGCTTTAAGCTGGTTCTACTCCGTACACCAAAAGGGTATTCAAGAATCAAGAAAATGCCTCGTTGTCGTGGACTTGTTAACTGCAATTATCATTCCTTCAAAGGCCGACTTGCGGGGGAACCTCCCTACACTACTGTCCTGTAACTAATAAAGGCTGGTGGGTGTGATTCTTGGTAGGCTGTTTAATTAAACGGCTTCTGCTGTCTCGGGAGAAGTAGACTTTAGGAAACCGAGGTACGGAAGACACTAAGGCGCAATTAACGCGGTAGCCTGCTTGGAAATATACTGGAAAAGGACTCGTGGCTCGCTAGTTTCCGCTTGTCGGTTACCTTCCAAATCTGCAGGTACTTATACCTTGATAGCTTTCTGGTCCCGTTGATAATGTCTTGTGGTGGGAATGTTTTGCACTTCAGTTTTTTGGGCCCTTCTGGGGAATGTCGTGCTAAAGAACGCATTCCCCCATAAAGTTCGGTGATCTTATCATCGACCCAGGCCATAAAGTGACCGTTGCAAATACTTCCTCATTTGGTAATGCTGTGGCATGTCTGCTACCATTCACTGTAAATCGGATTCCAAGGTGGTTGAAAAAACATAATCCTGTTGTTGCGTATCCTATGCAAGAGTTAGCCATGACGATGTAAGTCCATGACTTGTTTTGTTGTCAAGAAGATTTGTATCCTAGTTTCAGTCAAAGTCCCTTCGCAAATGACAATATTCACTGAAGAATATAGCCTTTGAAAATTTTTCTTTTCTTCTTCATGCGGGAACCCTCACTACGATCACCCCCACCATGCCTGAACCTTGTGCAATTCATATACGCAATCCGAGGGAAACCCCTATCTATGCCATTGAGGTCTAGTTAGCGGGAACGTATGCTGGTAGCCAGCGGAGTCAAACCTGCGCAGGTTTCAAGCATGGGCCACGCCGACTGGGCGCAAAAAGGTATGGATGCATCAGCCTCTGTACCGCCAATGTACAGTAGTTACAGGGACCTGCCATTTACTCTGTCCTTGCCTGATACTTCTAGGGAGAACGCTGCACGGCTGAGATACGAAGGATGCGGAGTCCAATATGAGCGTCCTCTTTTTCTTCTTCATGCAGAAGTGCTCCCTTCTCTTGACACCGAGCCCGAATTGGCGCCAAGAGCGGAAAACTAAACCGCTTGCGAGGCTCGGAGGGGATCCGTGCACGGTGTGCGCTTCCTGGTGGCCCCGACGGATGTTTTGGCCGGCAGTCAACGCCAAGGCTGTTTCCTCCAGTCGGAAGCGCGGGATCGGTGTCATCCTTGGAAGTTCGAGAAGGCTTCCGTCCATAGGTATATATATAGTTAATAAAAGGGATATACTCTGTATATCGGCGGAATCGCTGGCGGATTTCGTTCAAGATGGGTTCGTTCGAGGCCTGTGAGGCAGGGAGGATTGCTACCTAACGTGCGGAGTAGAACGGCTTTGGCCCGCTGTTTTAAATGCAACATCTCGAAACAGAAACAGATATTAAAGCAAGTATGATCTCACGATAGGTTTCAAAAAGCCAGCGCGATACTGGCCTGTGGCACCATTGCTCGTATCCTCCGGAGCTTCTACAGAGTGGCGGGCCCTTCACCCGGCCTCGCTCGCGCACACATAACATCCATCCATGAAGAGAACGACGCAGCAGCCGCCCTTAACTAAGACTTCTCGCGTTTGGAGGAGAAATTGCAACCGGCTTGGCTTCCCTCGTCCCCCGCTCAAACATGGTTCATTACCTAGAAACAGAAGAACAAAGAACGATCTGTTGGCGGTGTCAGTTGCGGTGGGGACAACACCGCCAGCAACGTGCCAATCGAGCGCCATCGGGTGCATCTCCTTGAAGGTAATTGCCGGCGTCACTGGCAGCATTTTTTCCTCACTTACTCCATGTTCGAAATGGCGAATACGATGAGGGATTTTCGTGGTCGCTGAGTTGCCACGGATGGAGAGAGACACAAGAAAAATCTCCAGGGCGAAAATTAAATTACCGCTGGGCGGTGGTGAGCGTACGGAACGGTACGAAGGACTCTTTTCAAATCCCGATATTACCCGACGATACGGGAACATGACAGTACCTCGATCCTTTCTCCAGATATCCCAGGTCGCGAGGGAATACTCCGTAAATCAGTTCAGTTAGAGTAATCAAATGGCGGCAGGTAATATGTGGGAAAGGGTAGGTAGCTGAGCTCGACATTGCACAGAGTTCAATTGCAGCGAAGGGTGCTGAGGGCCGGCGAATCACTAGCGGGCGTCGTGTGAGAGACACACCCCCCCAAGAGCGGGCTGAGTTGGCAGGCTCGCTTGCATTCCCCAGGCAGTAAGTTATTCACTTGGCCGCATTCAAATGTGGTTGCTCTACAAGTTCTCTCCCTCAGAGTACGATATTCCTCAATCATCTAAAGCTTGTCCTTTCCCGGCGTGCGATGCTTCTCTCTGGCTGACTCTTGTGCTCCATGCTGTGGCCTGTAATGTAAAGGTGCTGTATGACTCCAGAGAGTTCTTTACGAAGGCTTGGTATTGAGACGGTAATCAACTTACGTAACGCCGCCTTGTACGGCAGCCCGGCGGTCGGGCGAGCGTAACGACTGCGAGAGCGCGATGGAGTGACTTGAGATCGAGACCTCTCTTGAGACCTCTCTGCTCCTCTCTCTCTCTCTCTCTCTCTTTTCTCTTCTGTTTCCCATAGGACTCGACCGCTTCCCTCCTCTCCAGTGCTCAGCAGCGGCAGTCCTGTGTCGTTGTTCACCTCTCTCGCCGTGCCTGGGTGGCACTTCTGCTCGCCTTGCCGTCCGTCGCACTGGTGTCCTTGGAGAGTGTTGCCGCCGCCTGGCCTTGTTCACCCCGAGCTTGTCCGCCGGGAAAGCAACATTCCCGCAGAAGATACTGAATAAAAGAATTTCATACCCTTGCAAGCCCAGCAATTTTCGTCTCTAGAGGTGAGTTTCGAGCGGGCTTCCATCGACCTGGCTGGGTTCAAGGGCCTATCGCTCACCTTGCAGAGAGCGTTGATTTGCCCGTGTGTGCTGGTCTCATCGCCCACCACCCAGCTGTGTGGGGAACGAATCGACTCAATCCTGCCCTGCATTCGCCCGTCTTTTGCCCTACGCACACCGGCACGACACTGTGCGGCCTTCCCTATTATTAATTTTTTTTTCTGTCGACATTTTCTAGCCTGGTCTCAACCCAAGCGATATTCCATCCTCCTCCTTCTCCTTCCCTAGATCCGTTGTCCGGTTGAAACGCTGTCGCCTGGCCAGGGACAAAACTTTCCGTCCACAGCATCTCGTTGCCCGGTCGGTTCCTCCTTTTGCCTCTCGCTCACTCACTCTCGATTGGCCAATTTTGGCTGCCTTCTGCCTTGGTCCAGTCGTATCGCCGCCACTGTAGGGAAGTATTACGGGTTATCCGGACATCGACGGCAAGCTGGAGCCGTCATTCCACGAGAACGTCGTCCGCCGGGGGTTGCTGCGGGAGTCCGTCTTTCCGCACTGGGAAAATGGCGCCGCTCAGGGAGGCCTGGACAACACTGAGGAGTTGCAGAAACAGGATCCCCTAGCAACGCAGATATGGAAGCTATACAGCCGCACAAAATCTCAGCTTCCCAACCAGGAGCGGATGGAGAACTTAACCTGGCGTATGATGGCCATGAGCTTACGGAGAGAGCGGGAACAAGCGCAGGTCCGGTATGTCAAGCCCGTCCCTCCTCGCCGCCTTTCCAGGTGGGCTGGTTTTTGGCCATCTTGGGATTAAATAACGTTGCCCCTGCGTTGAACGGGGTCGTTCGGTGGCCGCCTCTTTTCGCACCTTCTGTCCCGCCGCCTGCTTCTTCTAGGTTATTCTAGCAAAGCCTTGACTGATCAATCTCCCTCATAGATGTGCACACCAGGCAAGATCCCCATCGCCAAGCCGAATACCACCTCACGACCATACCATGCCCCAACATGCCCTTGCAGCGCACTCGGACCCGATGAACGTCGATGACTGTCTCGTCTTCTCTCGGGGCTCTTCGACAACATTCTCCCCGTCCCCGCCCGTGGAACAACATGCTTTTGAGCAAAATCATGCCGTAGCCTCCGCTATTCCTATCAAGACCAAAGAGCAAGATGGATCGCCTGCTGGTATTGTCATGCCTGCCTCCTTTCCGCATGCGCCACAAGATGATCGTCGGAATACCGAATTTAGTTACGTTCCCCGGCGGGTTCGAAAGACAAGCGTGGATGAACGAATGGTAAAGCCCCAAACACTGTCCATCTGGGTTCTCATTATTCTCACTTCCCCTCCTTTTCCCTTTTTTTTTTTTTTTTTTTTTTTTTTTTTGGTTAACAAAGAAACAGACTCGAAAACGACCGGCCGATGCCTCCCCGCTTGTACCCCCCATAAACAGCCTGCTCATACCCAATGATCCCGACTTCGATTCCGCGATGGAGGACTATTCCCTCGACCAATCCCACCCTGCTTTCTCAATTGGCAACCAGACCTCTCCAACTGCGACACTGGATTTGGATACATTCCAAGTCACCGAGGACCAATTAATCACTTCGGCAGGCCCGTTCAGCCAAAACTTTACATTCTCTCCTACAGAATCCCCGCTCTTGGCCAATGCAGCCTTTCAAAATATATACAACCATACCCCTATGGGTTCCTCGCTGAACTCGACAGATCTTTACTCCCCACCCGCATCAGGGTATCAATCCACTGTCTCTACTCCCCATCTTGGCCTTGACAACGAGCATTCAATGTATTTTGACCATGCTCCCGCTGATATCCGGGTCCAGCGTCAAATGGGAAGTTTCCATGCGGCTGGTCCTTCTAACCTCTCGGGCCCTAGTAACCCTCGTTATCCATATGCTCGGGATCAGGCATTCGGGGTTGGAACTAGTGCCGTCACAGCGGGTTCCATGCACGCTTCTTCCTTATCAATGCAGCAGCAACCAAGTCCAAGCTATATCCTTGCTCCACAATCCTTCCGGGCTACACAGCCCCACCGCTCCATCGGCCGCGGGAATGGAAATCAAATGTTTACATTTGGAGGCGACTCAGATAATGATGATGATAGTGGAACTTCTTTTCCTGGAAGAAGCATGGCAATGCGAGCTGAGCAGCCTTTTGCTAACGGATCTTGCAACCTTGCCCCTGGCCTAGAATGGGCTAACCAATTTAATTCCGTGCCTGGCTTCCATCCACAACACCGCAAACAGGCCACGATAGCAGGTGCAGAATTCCAAAGCGCCAGCCGAGAGTGGGACCAAGGAGGCAGCCTTGGTCGTGGACATGGATCTGCAGCGTCAGTGAGTGAAATTCGGAACCGCGAGCAGGATCCTCGGAGACAAAAAATTCCTCGGACTATTTCCACGCCGAACACCGCTCAACTCCTACAGCAAGGACAAAATAGTCAGCCACGCACAACGCCAAACTCCCCCCGCGGGTCTGCCATAAGCAGTAACAATCCCTCCCGACCAGCTAGCCCAGGCCCCGCGAAAGCCACAGAACAGCCAAACGCACCTACGACCTGCGCCAACTGTTTTACTCAAACAACTCCTCTATGGCGTCGTAATCCAGAGGGCCAGCCGCTTTGTAATGCTTGCGGGTTGTTCTTGAAGCTTCATGGAGTTGTACGACCGCTATCTTTGAAAACGGACGTGATAAAGAAGCGGAACCGTGGAGGTGGGAATAACATGGCAGGAGGGACGAGTTCGAGAGCGTCAAAGAAAATCTCTCGCAAAAACTCTGTGCAGCAGCAGCAGCAGGCTGCTTCTAGCAGCGCTGCCGGAAAAATGAACGTTGGAGAGCCGTCCACTCCTGTGACTAGCAGTATCCCAGCAGCATTTACTGGATCAAGTAAGCCTGGTGTGATTCCTATTGCTGCTGCTCCTCCTAAACCGTCAAGCGTTCCGACCACTGTCCCAAGCAATGCTGCACAAGCACGAGTGCCAGTGCAAGTGACACCCCGACGCATAAGACGGGTTGAAAAGCCGCCAGGCCCTTCTTTCGCCCAAAGCTTTGGGGCCGAAATGCGAGATGTCAGGGAGGATAACAGTAAGACTCCTACTCTGTCGCACCGAATTCCCGGGATGTCTCAAGTGGCATATTCCCGGCCACCACCTGCCGCAATGGACCCTGCTCATCACAGTCTTGCTGCAGGCGCTGCTCCAAGCAATAGTCAAGAGTGGGAGTGGCTCACGATGAGTCTATAATACGGCCTATTGTATCAACTGCTATGCAGTTAATATAAACCTCGATTTATTCTCTTTTCTTACGGCCGTCTTTTACGATATTCCATGGTTGCCTCTATAGCAATCTTCCTACTAAAACAAAACGAAGCGAGAATGGAGACGGCAGATAAAATGAGACGATCGTTTTTCTGACTCGTCTGATTGATATTCTTCTTTTTCTTTTTTTTTCATTTGCTGCATCAATGCACGATGATAAAACGACATAATGGCTAAGTATATGATTATTTAATTTGGGACAAAAGATGGCATGATATTTTTTGAAGAATCCTCTTCTTCCATATTGCCATGAGACCTGTAAGGAAATTGTTGATCCGATGCTCCTTCGTAACAGATTTTGCTTGCTAATGCTAACCTTCATTCCTTCTACCCCCTTTTAGTTGTTTTCGGCCTTGGATTTCCACTTTGTCCAAGGTGTGATCGAGTAAAATCGTGTCCTATTCTTTTGATCCTTCCGTCCTTTTGCTCCCTGCCTCCTATGTTTGTTTCACTTTTTACACCCTTACTGTTGCGTTTTGTGGAGGTTTAAGGCCTACTTTAGTCCCTTTACCCTCGCTATGGCTCAGATAGACATCAGTTGCTTTTGCTTGTTTGTGTTTTGCATGTTTCCACCAGCTCTTGAATTGATACAACCGCGTCTGTTTAGAATGCCCAACCACTTGCCTTTTGCGTGTTTATTTGATTCTTTTGCTTTCTGTGTCCGCGTTTGTTTTGTTCATGGTTGGGCATTCTGGCAGAAGTGCGCATCTGCTTGTTAATTTGAATTATGGGTTTTGCTTTCGCCTTTTCTTTTTGCTTTATAATGTTGATTCTTACGAAAAAGAATGGAATGATGTCAATGAGTAGGAGCTTTGAGTGTGCTGGAGTTTTACTGTTTTGGCACACTACCAATGCTCTGTGTGTGTATCTAGCATATACATACCTCTTTTAAGGATCTTCAATTGTATGTCAATGGAAATTGAACTCTACCAGGATGAGAGTCCCTCGAATGAAAACGTCCATGCCATTAGTTTTACTGGACTGGCTATCTTTGATTGCTGGCACATATAGCATGTATCTGAAAGCATATATTAGATAGAAACCAATACGCCTACCTGACTACTTAAGAATTAATCTTGATCGTGCTCTTGGTTAGAAAATGTTTGATTCGGGGTGTCTTGTATTTCGGCAAAAAAATATTGTGCTAGAGCACCCTGAGCAGGAGCAGTGGCATCTACATCATCTATGCTCGCATCCACACACCCAAAAGCATTCTCGCTCAGTAAACAAGCTGAGTCTGACCTGAAAGCACCGGAAGAACCGAGCAGCCAAGCCACAGCCATGTTGTCTTGTTTCAATTTTTTACATCTGAATAATCAGATAGCATTGAAAAGAGGCCCTGAAATTGGGGCGGAATCATCAAGATCAGGCAATGAAGCTCAGCCGAACTTGGGTGTGGATTCCAGAGGGGGGGGGTTGACTTTGTGCTTTGCTTATGTGCCATGTTTGATTGCTTATATTACATCCATTGTATCGGCGCGAGGTCCATGGAGATGCTTCACAAAGTATTGCAACCTGAATAAAGATGTAACTAGCATCAATACGAACTATATATTGATATCAGCATTGAAAAAATAAAAATGTCACTTTCCAAAAGTCTTCTTTAACTGTAACAGGTGTGTGTGGCGCTTGTAATTTAGGACTTGATCGGAGAACTTGTAGAAGCTTCGACTTGGAGAAACGGAAACAGAAACACTGTCTCCAAGAAGGAATTGTTTGAAGCAGAGAACAGGATGACAACTAATTGACTGTAATATCGGAGAGCGACAAAGAGGCAACAAAGCAAAGTGAGGACACTTGTCGAGAGCTTTCAATTTCACATCCAGAAGGTGTCCTAGTGCGGGAATAAATGTCAATCAATGTGTATTGAGTCTCTAGGCAGGTCTGGTTAAGGTCATCTTTGCCCATGACCCAGGTTAGCTCTGCCTGAAGAAATTGAGTTCAAATCTAGGTGGGCATAATGCCTGGAATAATCCTTTGAGCCACCTGATATTGGACTCCTGAAGACACATCTCATGATGATATGTATCTCGTTAGTGGTATGCATGATATTTATGCCGTTTGCCCATGGAAAATCCATCGCTATACGCATGGCTGAAGGTTGTAGTAGATGCAAGGCATTCATCTGCAGCACTAGATCCGGTGCTGTGACCGCGGGTTGGCAGCTGGGGGCTGGTGAAGCAGATAAGGAGGAGCAGTGCTTCTGACGTAGTTAAACCTCGAAAGGCATTTTTACGCACCTTTCCAACGCCCAATTCTTTTCCCTATCCGGGAGAGACTTTCATTCAACACTCTCAAGAAATTAAATGTCAAACCAGACAAAGGCACTTGCGCCTCGTGTTGCCTATTGCAAGTTGCCAGCTATTCCTCTAAGGAACAATCGTAGGCTATTAACGGAAAGAAGAAAGCTAAGTAATTTCCTTGCAGGAAGTAGATGCGGTTTTAAAGTGGTCAACTAGCCTTGACCCAGTACCGTCAAAACTGTATACGCTGCCAAATGCTTGACGTTCAGCTTGGTGAAAATGGGGAAGGACTGTATATTTCCAGCGCCTTCGTCCGAAACCGTTTTCTAAAAGTTCTATATATATATAGACAGGCATAACTGATATCCAAGGAATCCGGTTTGTGTGGCATGTCTTTGACATGGACTCGATTGGAAGTTCATCTTCCCAATGATTCTTAATAGTACCATCTAGAAATGAGTTATGGTTCAAGTCTTTTGCAAATGAGGAATGTTTTTCCTCATTGACAAGGCCAAGCCCTTGGAAAACAAAGACTGGCATCGGCAGGGCGCAAGGAAGTGCCGACATTTTTTTGTGGGATGCATATTGAGCGAGATTGAAATCGCGAAGTCCTTAGAGGATGGGGGGAAGTGTGTGGGGGGGAATGAAAAAACTGGAAGAAATTCCGGACTTGAAACCCTTCCATATCGGAATTTTGTAGGCCCCGAAAGACTATGGAACCCCAATGAACCCACTGTAAACAGTGTCTGAAAGGTTTCTGCAGCAGGAATGACATCTTCACTATTTCTGAATAGAAAATGGTTCTCATTTTCAAAGATTCCCCTGCCTGAGAAACATTCCCAATTGCTGTAGAATGATTTTGGAATGGTGGGAGTGTTCTCAGAGTTGTTGAGAATGTTAGTAGAAATCCAGTTGGAATGCTGTCAGGAATTAACTACTGCATCCTGATTCCAGATACTCATTCATTTCTACAGAGTAGTCCTTGATCAAATACATACAAAGCAAGCAAATCTTAGGGAAATGAAACATCCTAGATGCATAGTAGAAAAGTTTCAGAATTCCAATCACTGAAAACCAGATTGCTGCTGGCATCCAACCACTAATTGGTATGGTGTAAAGACTCAGCTTTTTAATTGCAGGAAGTCCAATACTGGTGTAGTTGCTGTCGCGTAGATCTGCCTGCTCAATCAGCAGATCTAAAACCTGATCTCTCATCATTTCCAATGCTGGAATCATCAAAAAGAATACTCTTTCATTTGTATGCAATTCATGAATGAAAATGCTGGTAATTTGCCCAATGGTAGAGCTGGTTCCATATGTATACTCATCAATCATCAGCCATTAGTTTGATCTGCTGGTCTCCAAGTAAGAAAGTAAGAGTCTTATAGAACCATATTGCAGTTGAGCCCAGTTCCACCATGGATGGCTTATCTCAATCTTCCTTATATACATTTCAGAGTTTCTGCAAAAATGGGTGTAGATTTGGTAATATGGATAGCCATGCATTTGCGATATCTAGCATTGACACCATTTTTTCTGTGGATCGTTGTGCCAATGATAGTGTCCTTCAGCAATGGTATCAAAATTCATGTCATGTTGCCAATTCTCCAAAACTATACAACTCCAACAAGACCATGTTTCTGTAGGTCTTTGATTCCAGTATTGGCATTCTGTTGTGGCATATCCCCAAGAAAATAGAGACATGAGGAAATAACTTTAGTGACTCTCTCACTAGGAATATTCACATCAATACTCTTGTCAAGCAATGCTAGACCAGGCTCTAAGACTTCAATCACATCAGGAAAATTGATTCCATGTAGTCTGAAAGTAATTATATAAACATTGTTATACTTGACTCTTTTGGTAGCTTTCATGCTGGCAGATATCATGTAGAAACCCATGAGACTTCAGTACATGTTGTGGTATAGACTGAATCCATCAATAAAAAGTTGATAGAGAAGGGATATAATCTCTTTGCTGTTGGAAAATGTTTGCTTCAATACCTCCCTATTATATGCTGCTATTTCTAGCTCACCATGTAGTGGAGTGCTCATATTAATTGCACAATTCCTAATTAGGTTACTGTGAGATCTCAGAAATGTAAGAGTTTCTCGGACCAACGAAATCCCGATATGGTTGCCCCGTGGGGATGGCTTATATCCGTCGTGCGGGATGCCAACGAGTGGGTGTAGCTATCCTGGCTGCTAGAGTAGAGGCGTGAAACTGCCGTTGGGCAGGATGTGATTTATATTTGGTATAATTTATGCTATTTCATGTCATCATTGTATGACTTGTTAGTTTGCTGCTGGTCAAGAATGATGTCCATCTGCCTGTTATCTTGGATAGAGTCAAAAGTCAACGCGTGCTTCATGTCCATCCTTTGGTAGATAAAATCATAAAAACAAGGATTAGATTGGCTATAAGATGACTTTGAACTGACTATTCAGTGATTCAGTGATCGATTCCAAGTCATCACATATTTGCCAATTAAGGCATGAAGTTCCACCGAGTCGCTGTAGAATCTTTTTTTTTTTTCTATCAGCGATGGTTACGGCCAACCGATACGCGGGTATCAGACACGATGAAATGATGGCCGTGGTGGATAGAATATGTGCGAAATAACTTTTTAAACAGTGATGTAAAGTTCTTCTGCAGCTGTCGGATACTGCCTGGCAAAGTGACGTTAAGAAGAAATATGCCCTTAGCTGTAGGTGTTTGCTAATAAAATATATATTGTTATTCATAAGCTAAGAGTAAGGACTCTTTAAGCCCTAGGTGCTCAAATCATAGTTAGTCGAGGGTAGCCAAGGCGCAAAAATAGTCCTCTGGTGAAAGGCCCAGAGGTAGTGCAGGCATCAACCTCCTTGAGCGATGCCAGAGACATGAACACTTGCCTCTGTCGCTCAGCAAGGATGTAAGGGAAGTTCACCCCGAAACCTCCAATTGATAATAGGGCCCATTGGAGATATTCAATGTCAAAGTAGAACTCATTATGGAATTATATAGAAAATAGGTGGTGAGGGTTCGAATGCTTTTCATTTTATAGGTATTTGCGGTCCTAAGTTAGGTCAGTTAGCCGGGTAAGGGGAGTTCTGTAAGATATAGCAATTGACTGCCACTCACTCTAGAGTCCCGAATCCACTCTCGTCCATCCTTGACTGTTTCGAATGCATCGCAGGTGAAACCCTCATCCATAAGGTTTTCAGGTTTTCAGGTATCAGGATGATTTGGTTCTTTTCTTGAGTTGTGATTCCACGAGAATAGCGTGAAAAGCCTTTTGAAGGAGTCGGAGGGAATAGATATCCGGGTTTAAAGAGGATCGCAGCGAGGTTACTGTCTATTGTAGGCGGAGATGTACTCGGCAGGTAAATGAGAATGAGATATTCATTCTACTCGTTCACTTTCGGGTTCGCCAAATCCCTGGTTTTCGAGGGCGATAGATGGGTGTGCAACCCCTTGATTTTGAAAGTGGATGCGCAGAGAGGAATGTAGAAACTGGGTGTACAGCTCTCTAAGTCACTTTTATATAAGGAGCTTGGACACAGTAGAATGGTGCAATGGAAAAAGAAAAATAAGAGCAGGTAGATAGGGGGTCATTTTATAAGCAAGGACCCCGACCATAGTGCTTGCATGCACCTTTCACTTGTGGTGCGTGAAGCAAAGGCGGCAGTCATTTAGTTGCAAGAGTATACAGCATGAAATGGAAGGCCATTGGCGTTGAATGAAAGAGGCTGTAGTGACAGTTTGCTGCCAGAAGTCTGAGAGCAAAGTGAAATTGGCAAAGTGAATTTACTAGAACATAATGAACCAAACATGGTCTTTGGCGCTGTTCAGTGACCAGCTTCGTATTGTAGCATCCATATAGAGAAGAAGAAATTTTCCCACGATGATTCTCCCAAAGTCACCGAGACCAGGGTGCTAGGCCCTGATGGAAGTATCAAAGAGGAGCTCCCCGGCACAGCCCAGACCTTCCACAAGGGTAAAGCAACGTATAAGTTCAGGTGTCTGCACCAAAAGCCGAGATGTACACAAAGCGTGCGCAGAGGCTCTAAGAACCATGTAACCACTGGGTCCTGACGTTATAGAGACTTGCGCTCCCTGTTTCTCAAGTTAATCTGGGTAGGCGAGATCAGGGCGCGTACCATGTTGCTGTGTACGAGTATCTGAGTGGCTTTGAAGAAGCTTTTTGGAACACCGCGTCATATTCTAATTCATTTTCACTTCGCAAAATGTCCTCGTGTGGGGCGTTTCTCGATTTCCCCCTTTCCTGTCACGGCCGTGGTAGTGAAGCTTATTCGTGGCCAAGTAGTTAGCTACCCCTTCCTCAGTTAATGTTTGCATTGCTTCCGATAAGCCCGGACAAATGCCGTTTGTCGCATTCATCCTGATTGGAAAGATGGCCCTAGATACATCTTTTATGTCAACGGCTATAGTTAGTTAACTTAAATGGAGCCATAGGCTCATTTAGAGAAAAATCAATCGTTGACTGTCACTCGATCATCTATGACATCTCACCATCTGTTGTACGTAAAAACCTTTCAGGATATCAGCGTCCGACATTTCATTGAGCCATAGCTGGATAGAGATGGTAATATCCAGGGCGAGCAGGGATAGTGACACTAGGTGGGGTTCACAGCTTCCACAAGTGTGCAACCGCCACACAAGATGCACACGACAAGTTCAAGGAGTGCTAGTAATGTACGGAGTATAGAGTACTCCATAGTTTTTGTCGGAGGCACGGAATTGCTTCAGTGACACGGAGCGCTATAGCCACCATAACCACCTGCTGGGATCGGAGGCATAGCCATGATTCTAAAAAATGGTGCACAGCCGCCATTCTCGGAAAAAGGAGACCAGATACTTTGGACCGGTAAGTCACCCCACACTCATACTGGTAGTGGCCCACACAGTGTTAGGATCGCTGATAAAAGCAGGAAACGAGCAGGAGGCTCCACAATCCTACTTCTGCACCGGCAACTCTGCTGTCAAACCTCAGTAGGGCTGTACCAAACGCTCCAGAGTTCCCTGCTTCCCTTGGCACCGGGATATGTATGATCGGCGGAAGGTCCGATGCCCATGGGTATATTGCCGGGGAGAGAGTCTGGGTGGACAAGACAGAGCAACACAGATCTTCCTTTTTGACACAATGATTGCGTCCCATATACAACACTGGCATCCAAGGATACCCATGGGAAGTGTAAAGAATGTCAGCGGGAAGATTCCAATCGCCATGTATAGATAAAGTCGTGAGACTTAAATACCGATATCCACGAGGAGAGGCTACCGTCGCCTTTAAGGAAATGGAATTATTTACCATCGAGTGACGCGAGAGATGGATCGTATCAACTGGAAATCGAGCACGGCCAAGCTAAGTCCAATCACGTGCCAATCGCCAGCGTTCAAGTCTTTGGAGTAGCATGCGAGCTTTGAACAGCCGGGATGGGTTCTAATTTTCGCAGGCAGCAATGAGACGGAGTCAGCCCTAACTTTTAAGCTAAGACTTGCGCCTGATAAACGCTGTGGGCGCGATCTTTCTCCTCGGAAACGCAGAGCGATCCACCGCCCATTTTCCTCGCTCCCCTGCACGTACTGCATACAGAGAACACGATTATCTCTTCGACCCGAAAGCAGGTATAGTTCATTGGACGAGAGCGGACTTGGTCGCATGGCAGACAAGGGTAGCAATGGTTGGTACCAAAGCCACGGCGTCATCCTGGAAAATCACAGTGATCTTTGAGTTTTGAACCAAGACGAAGAATGTGAACCGTCATGGCAAGGGATGCAGAACTTCGAGTGCTTGAGCGCAGACGGTCGGTGTGAGACCAGTTTCAAACCCTGGTATATTTCGGTTTCTGTCATTCGAGCCTTGGCCGGCTGGTTGTGGTGATCGAGGTCTCGGACAAAGTTCGGTATATTTGTCAATCTTTGGAGTTTGCCTATTAACATACCATGCGAAAATTCTGGGGAAGAGGCCAGTTCCAGTCGTCCCTGAAGTTCCAATAAAAACCTGTCAGTTCCGTAATAATGATACTAATTATATGGTGGCTCTTGTGGGATCGGATGTCTTTTTGCGCGGAAGCCATGGAAACAGGTCAACGTAAGTCCCCAGATCTGTCGGCTTGCCTGGAGTCGGGTGAGGGGCAGAGATTCTGTCGCTCATTCACCAAAAGAGATACGGGAAATTGACTGGTCAGCGGGTCCGTGCTGCTTTCTCTGGTCGTCATCTTCGTCATCGTCATCGTCATGCGATTCGCTTAGGCTGTGACGAAGATGAGAGAGAGAGCGCGAGAGCGTGTGTGATGCGACGAGCCTTTGATAGACAGCACCACACTATGCTGACCTAAGGGCGCGCGAAGTAGCGGGCCGCCCTTGTGGTGCGTGGTGGCAGACCCCCCTAAAGGCTACCCCGCTAACGGGCGGCGGCATCCTTTGTTCCAACATCCTCCCTCGTCGCTCTTCTCCCAGCCCGCCTTTCTTTTCCTCTTTTTCGCTCTGTTCGTCTCTCGCTTCCATCCGCCCTCTTCTCGACTCATTTGGCGTCGTGGAAATTGCTGGCGTCGGCTTTCTGCAGTCCTGGGCCCAACCTAAACCCTGGACGGTCCAGAATCCTGCCGCCATGATTGGTTTCCACGAGTCCAGTTTCCTTCGTCCTTATTCGCCCGTGGTCTCCCCGAATCCCTGCGACGGTCACCCCTAACTTTGCTGCTCCCAATGCGCTGTCCGCCTCCAGCTATGCAACTCAGTCTCCCTTTTACCCCGGTCCCCAGCTAGTGGAAGAGTGCAGCCGCACCGTGCGCCAGTGACAGCCTGACGGTGAGATCTCTTCTCCACCTCTCGAGGTTAAATCGCCAGCCTGGCAAACGGACCTTGGGGCCAACCAAGCGCCGCCTCCCGCCGAGCTTGGCGAGACCAAGGTAGCCCAACCACTTGTCTCTAGCCCTTTCCAGCTCGCCCAGGCTTCCTCTTGAACCAATCTCCGGTCTATTTTGGCTCTTCGCTAGGTTCTGTTGGTTGGGTCGATTTTGAATTTGGCGCTAACAGGGGTGTTTAACTCTTTGGGGATCGTCGAAAGGGAGACAACGAGACACAATCCGATCGAGCCTCCCTAAAATTCGGGCTTTTATCGCGAGCAGAAAAACGGCCTTTCTTTTTTGCCTTTAGCCATCATTAGGCCTAGCTCGGGTCTCCCTCTTGTCGCTGACCTGTGTGGTTTTGCGACCTTGTCTCAACAGGTATTTGATACAGACAAAAGTCTTCAACGACACCGCGCAGGCTGTGGATTCCAGCCTTGTTGAGAGTTCTCGGCTCCTGATTCTTCGACCGACTATCGGATCTTTCATCTTCATTTTTTTATTTTTTTTATTTTTATTTTTATTTTTTTTTGTTTTTCCTTTCGTTTTTTGCTTTCTTTTTCCTTTTCCCCTCTTCATTATGCGATGCCTCCGTTTCTCCCCTGGACTTCTGATTGGAGAAGAACCCTTCAACAGTAGATCAATTCAATTTTAATGCCATTTGAAAAATGTCCGTCCACCAGGGTTCGTGAGTCTGACAAAGAGACAGACGGAGATCGACGCAATCGCTCTTGATGAAAATTTCTTTTCCACTCATTTCTTTTTCACTGCTGTTCATTAATTATTGGTTATATATTTTGGCTGGTTCACAGCTTCAATAATAAATACGAAGGATACAGCTTAACATCCTTGCCACGGGTTAATGTACAGTACATACTTCTATCTTCGTACAGAACTCTGTACGTCCTTGGGGATTGCTCCCGAGTCAACCTATTTTGGGGTCACTACCAGTCAAGAACCGCTAGTTTGCTGGCGATGTCGGGTGATTTTTTCTGATTTCTCATTCCCGCCGTGAGACCCCGGATCCTGAAAGACAATAACCACTTCCCATCCAAAAGAAAGCACACTCTCTTCTCCTTGGTCGCAGCCATCACTATTTTGTATGTTTTCTATTCAGTCTTTCGTATATATTTGACCACATATTTCCTCCTTTTTCCGACTGGACGAAACGTGGATTGAGCCTTTTTTCCTCCCTCCCCCCCCGGTTCGCTTCTCCCTTTGTCCTTCGCAACGATACGGAGTGCGGGTAACCTTATCCTACCGTCGCCACTCCCCGCACACGCCGAGGTTGGTACCACCAGTGGACAGGTCCCAAACGGCTGCAAGCAAACTCAGTCGGATATTATTACACATTCTTTCTCATCGATTCACAGCAGTGGGCAGGATCAATTTCCCTCCAAGTGAGAAATAGATTTTGGGGCGCTCCTCCAGTGGCGCGAGTGTCCCAGATTTGCTCGCGGGTGGGAAATACATCGAGAAGCATTATTAGCACGAGTGCCGACCCCAGGGACATTCCTAAGCTACCCAGCGATCGTCGTGCCACTCTTCTCCACCTGTGTGCATCTGTCAACAACCTTCAATTGCAGATAACTAACATCTGTATCTCTCGATTCTCGTGCCGATCTTGTCGTTCGAAGAAGTTGAACCTGAACACTCGAGTTCTCTGTCTGTCCGCGATTCAATCCAACGCGAGGTCTGGTCACCGGCCCCCTCGAAAACCCAACCGAGTTTATTTCACCTCTTGGTCCAAGAAAAAGAGATACTTGCCCTCTCAAAAACGGATTAACTTCCCCGGCGAACCTTGGAATTCAGATACACCGAACCGGAACCGCGTTGTTCAGGAAATTTTTGCCCTCACGTTGAAAGATCGTTTGCGGTGTGAAGGTATGTACGTACACACAGTTACAAAAAGTCAACCTTGGTTCGATCTCCCCACATCCCCTGAGCCAGATCCTGCCGACACCGGTTTGTTGCACACATACCCTCGAGATAACAATCCATGTATGATCCTAGCCCGTCGGCGCATATTTAATGTCACACGGGTGCCACAACTGAACGCCTCTTCCATCCCCCTGGTTCTCTTTCTAGGCCTATTACCTGAGCTTTTCCGCCGAATTTTTACCTCCACCCGGATTATGCTGAGGATATACTTACCTGTTGATAGAAATAGCTATTGTTGCGCGTGGAGTTGCTTGGCTTCTTGTCGCGACGACCAGATTGTGACATCGAACTACACCTCCTCTCTCGATCTCGAGCGATTGTCCAAAATATAATTCCAGTTTCCCCGTCGGCGAACACAATCCTACGTTACTTGTCCTGTGGAAGCTGGTTTTGAGCGTTGCTATCTCGATATCCCGATCTCTGCGTGTCAGAGAACGTACATAGCCCTCCCCCCTTCCCTGTTACCCAATTGAAGACCCTCGGTGCCGCCTGCCTGGTCTGAGCGATTCCCTCTATATTCCGTCAACGTGGCTACGCTTACGATCTCCCCGCCCGGAATGGGGGCGGCTTTTGACGCACTTAGTATGCAACAATCCTTAGGGCAACGAAGACCGGCCTCTGCAACCTTCCCCAGCTTTGAACTCCCCAACCCCCAGGCCCAGCAGTCGTCCCAGCCGAAACATCCACTGCATTCGAGTGTAAACGCAGGGCAGCCTACCATAGGCGGTGTAAAAGTCGGAAATCTTTTAACCCCACCAGAGAACTCAACATCGGATACTCCTGGCCAAGTTCAGCCATATTCACAAGCTTACTGGCCAACGGCCTCATACAGTCTTGCTCCTGGTACGTTTCGTTGTTGCTTGCGAGTTTCCGTTTAGTTTAGCATTAAGCGGCTCACAGAAATCAGGTCGCAATACTTCACACTCATCAGCGATGCCGGACAGCCTAGCACCATCTTACGGTCAAAACGCCGTGTATCCTTCTCCGCTTTCTCCCTCGCCAGCACTCTCTGCTTCCTCAGCTCAGCAACAAGCTCACGACCAGCAGCAGCCACAATCTCAAAGCCAGCAACCACCACAGCACCCTCCTCAATCACACCAACCTCCAATGGCCCAGAGCTACACGAACCCAACCAGCGGGCCTATCCAACCGCAATCTGCATCCCAGGCAAATCATCTTGATCCTTATGGGCAAAAATATGCTTATGGAGGTTCACAACATTCCCCAACTCCATCAAACTACAACCTTTTCCAGAGTGGGCCGTCTTCAGTACACCCCTCAAGCTCCAGTGCATCATCTGCAAGGGTGCCCGGAATGCCAGTCCCTTATCCTCTCGATACTCAACAGCCGCTACCACAATTTACACGTCCGTACCCGTCCTACTCGCTTCCGGCTATGAACGGCCCCGTTATGAGCAACATCCATAGCCCTAACAATCAAATGGCGCTAATAGGCTCCATGCAACCCAACCTTCTTCCTGGCTTCAGTAGCGGTCATGCTGCTAGTTTACATCATGTGTACAGCGGGCATCCCCATCCGCACGCACATCACTTTAATAGTCTTGTTCCACCTCCACAAAATGACCGACCATTCAGATGTGATCTGTGCCCACAAAGCTTCAATAGAAATCATGACTTGAAACGACATAAGAGGATACATCTGGCTGTAAAGCCATTCCCGTGCCATCATTGTGACAAGAGCTTCTCTAGAAAGGATGCCCTCAAGGTATGCCCCACCGCCCAAATTATAATATATTTACTTCTTGCATACTGACCCACGGTTTAGAGACACATTCTTGTGAAAGGCTGTGGCAAAGACCCTGCATCTGACACAAGTACCTCTTCAAGCACAACCAGGTCAACTTCAGCATCAGTTGTGGGTACGGCTGTGAAAAAGTGAAGAAATGTGCAACGCTATGCTTCTATTGTTAGACCATGTCATCGCGATAATAACACGGTTAACGCTGATAAAATTCAATCCACCCGATATCCGTTTAGCGAAGAAATTTCTTTTGTCTTTTGATTCCTCCACCAATATCAATTTCATAATTTGATTCCCCAACGTGGTTTATATGATTGCTATGATCCGCATTTCTGTTAATTTTGTGCCCGCAGCAATAATTTCTTTTAATTTTATGTCCCTACTTCTTGCTGCTATGCCTTTTTTTTCTGGGCGGAGAAGTTTACAGATGCACCCATTCGCATATGTCTTTTGACAAGGGAGTTGTTGCGTTGTGAAAGATGTGCTTTTATCAGTGGTCCGCAGTCATTGTGGCGCATTGGGTGTGTCCCCTTTTTGGGTATCCTATCTAGCTTCGTCCTTGTTGGCTCCTTGTTGAGCTTGTTTTCTGGGTGCTCTAAAACAGTTTTATTCATATTTCTCTATTACCTAATTTTAATTTTATACTTCTTTTCTAATCATTTTTGGATTTCTTGACTGCTGATACTATATTTATATTAATTTTCTATTCTCTCCGAGAGGTATTTACCGTGGATAAACCCTTTTTTTTTATCCCCGCCTTTTTATTGGCTCGAGCGCGGAATTTGTTTTGCTGGAGGTAGTGTTCTTAATTTTGAATTTCTTCTTGCCAAATACCCTTTTGCTTTATATATACCTCGCCGGAGTTCTTCGTTGACATCTTGTGACCATGTTGCATTTTCAACAGCGCCGGCTTCTCCGGCATACCATTATGGTTCCAATAGTTGTGATACCCCGGATATAAAAATTGAGTTACCCAAACCAACTGCACATCGATAGCGTGGCAAGCACGTAGAATCTGGGAGTGTCGGCACAACCCGCCTTTCGTGCACCGTATCCCTGTACGTCCTGTGGAAAACCCACTCTTAAAGCTCGGGGCCGACAAACCGAAAAGCTATCATCGCTGCAAAACCATTTATTCTATGATCGCCATACCCTCCCTCCTCATATACTCGCGGTAAACACATCCTTCCACTATTCCAAACCACCCCATGTGCGTCCGTTGATTTCCAACAATCTTCCTCCCAACTAAAACATGAATGTCCACGCCCAGTCCTTTAACCACAATCCTCATCGTGCTCGGTGCTAGATCGCCCAGTTGGGGCGGGGATCGTAGCGATCTCTCATCATTGTCGTGGGAAAAAATAGCAACGGCGTTGTTGATGCAGGAGAAGAGGAGGAGGCGGCGGGTGGATGGATTTGTTGAAGGTGTGGATACATCTGTATTCGATGCCAGCATTGTTTGTTGTTGGGGGAACGGTTATGTCGCACTAGATGAGGACATAGCTGCCGATGGTGGCTTGGCCACAATACCAGGTGTGAGCGGAGTGTGGCCCCAGTTGTTTTGCGGGGTGGGACATGAGGAAGAGATATATAGCAAGGCTTGTGGGGGAGAAGTGTTGAACGTTAGAGTACGTACCTCGTCGCGTTATGCCAGGTCTGTGAAGTGGAGGCTTGAGCCCTGTATATCCATGTTAACGTCCCCGAGGCGAAAGGGGATAGCGCTTGCCCATCCGATATCTGGTAGGAGTTCTAAAGACTTTGTAGACTCCGGTGGGCCGCATGGGCATACGGGATCTGTACTCCGTACGCTGCGAACGTTGCAGTTAGCGTGATCAGTCCACGCTCACTCAAACAGAGGGTGGAAAACACCGCATCATCATAGGGTTAAACGTCCCTCTAAATCCCAATTCCTTGATGAGATACGTCGACGTATCTTACCGTCCGTCCCACTGCATCCCAATCGGGGCTCATACTTCCCGCTCGACCTATTGCCATAAATGGATATCGTTGCTTTCTATGATGCCGGTAGGACATTTTCTTCGTCGACCAAGAAAGGAAAAGCGTTCGTGCTGCTTGCGGGAAAATAAAAAAATATATACTCCATCATCATAATAATAATAATAATAATAATATAAAAAAAAAAAAAAAAAGGAGTCTAGCTTAGGGCCGCTGAAACCCCAGGTCAGGGGAAGGAATTGGACCGTACTAGATCCGGAGGCGACGAAAGAATTTAATATCGTGACTCGTGACATGGATATCTCTATCAACTGGCGCTCTTGCAGTGGTCAGGTTTCTAAATGCGGTAATGAGCATTGTGAGGAAAACGCGGAGGGAAACGAGCCATATCTGGGGGTTATTGTTGTCAAAGGGAAGATGCACGGCAAAATGAATTAAAGTGGCCGATGTGGGCGTTATAGAGACCATGCTACCAGCGCATCATAACTGGTTTTCATCATATTTTGTTAGACGAGCGTACGAGGTTGGCTTGATGCTATGGAGGGTATATACAAGAAAAAGCATCCGGAAAACAGAGTCTTGCGCGTGAATCCGCAAAACCAGTTACTAGAATAATCCCGAAAGCCGGTCTGTCCATGAAAAATTATTATTGCAAGAGAAAGAAAACCAAAGAGATAGTCTCAGGTAGTGACAAGGGTAGCCGAGTTTCCGGGTGATAGAACGCGGCGTAGTCTCCCTATCTCGAGTCCCCATGTCACAGCCTGCAGATGATAGCGTTCGCCGGGCTTTTCCGTGGAAATTGGGGAGGATTTTGGGCATTGTCTGCTTCAAGGCAGGGAGGGACAACACTGGAAGCATCTAAGCAGGTATTGGATATACAGCCCTTGCAAGAGCGAGAACGCTGTGGATTCCGTAAAGTGAAGCATTTGCCACTGTGCGGTTAAATCCACGTTTCTTTTCTTGTTCGTGATATTGATATTCTCGAAGTGGTTAGTACTATTTGGAACTGTGTTCCCAAGGACTGCAGGTAGACAGGGGTCCTTGAAAATGTTCTCATTGCGAATGATCGCTCGAGCAAGCCCTGCAGATCCGAGCGGCGAGATCTGCAAGCCACCACGCCTGGGACGTCACACAAGTCCAACGGATCGCAGAAAAAAAAGCAATGTGGCGGGAGGAACTTCGTAGCTAGTGTAGTCAATCACCCACTCACCGACGAACCCGGTGGGTCCGGGAGCCATGGTCAATGGCGGCGAGAACTTACGAGATATGTACTCCTCCGTATGGAGTGAATGAAGCCCGATGTTGACTTTTGGACTAAGCTGGGTCGTTTAATAATGAAAGTCTTCGCGAGTCCTAAGTAACTTTGTCGATAGTACTCCGTATATAACTTCCTTATACTCTGTACTCTGTAGGAGTATGGTGAAAGTGTATCATCTCGACTCCTCAGTGCTCCGTAGTTAGTTACATAGCGACGGATGAGTTACTCTTATGATGTCTGCTGAGCAAGTGATCCATCAAAAGTAGCTTTCAGGCTATTTTGATGATAACTATAGAATGCACAGAGCTTAGAATCATTGCAACATTGGATCTTCTGCACCAAAGGAAAGCTCGTCATTATTTGAATTGGTTGTGAATAGGACCTCCTACCACTGAAATCGCATAGTGACTTGGGAATGGGAACATTGTAACAAAGTATTCCAAGAAAATTCTGGAAGTTTTAAATGCATCTTAGTTGTCTGAGCCAGTTATGCTCTATTACACGCTTAACTCAGGTGCAATGCGCTTGCAATGGCGGTCTGGATTGTCTGACAGGCGAGCTGGATTCACTGGGTTGTGATCCGGCGGAATGTATCTGCAGACCCTGCCCATATGCTTCCTGAGTTGTGTCTTGCTGGGAGGTATAGTAACTAGCAAGAGAGAGTTAAGCTAGACCTCCAAAAAAGAGACAGTGCCTTTGTGGAGTTATAATAGATGGAAAGACAGCGCAAGAGGTAGAAAACAATTCAAGACACTGAGGACTAGAGCCGTGTATACACTAATGATTGGGTTGAGAGCTGCAGAAACAACGTTTGTTTTCAACATATTTTATATGTCAACATTTATGAACCAAGGGCCTTCTTGATGACTACTGTGGTATGTCTTGAAGCAGGAGGGATATATTCCACTCCTTGCGCTGCCATATTGGCACTTTGACAATGCCTGTTTGCCGTTTTGTGGTTTTGATTTTATAAGAGAGGCTGGAAGGAATATTTATGAACCTCATAATGAGTAGTAACACTACATGCATGTAGTGATAATATTCACGGGCATGGCTGGTGGAAGGGTATAGGGGGAGGAGTGTTCCGATGCCCCTAATATATAACCATATTAGCAGTATTGTTGGTAAGATGATATGAAATATTTGTTAAATTTTGCCATTTCAGCATTCATTGCATTCAATAGTAGAGCAATCCCCATTACATGAGAAAACCCATAACAGTCATAATTGGTCCTGGATATTGTCAAGTAGTAACCGTGTAGTTATTTGGTTGAGTAGTCTGTAGAAGAGTAATTGTATCGGGCCTGTCAAAAGGCACTAGTTTGTCACTATGTAGAGCAGTCACTGGCTTCACCATCCAGTTCGGAACACATTATGTTGAACATGTTAGGGTCTTTGTATCTGTTTTGTCCTGATTTGAGGACTTGCGAAAGTTTATCAGACATATCAACCCAGCCGGACGCGAGCTGCTGCATAGTAGGAATGTTATAAAGAGCGCCTGTGGAGAAGCTCAACAAGTTGTACTTTACAACAGCTGGGCTTGTCCCATTAATTTAAATGTGAGCAATGTAGAACTAACTGTTTAGTGCATTAAATGCACATGGAGCGATGGGCAGCTTTCTGCTTTGAATCACTGGAGCACTGGCTATTCAGTGGCCAGGAGGAGAACTAAGTTGGTTTTCGTAGGCCGCATCAGCTTGGGAAAAACAAGAGACAAAGGAAAAGGAATATTGCATGCTTCTTGAGTCTCTCCAGTTCTGAGTAACATTGGATACGCTCCCAAGTCGGTGGTGGCTGTGAGCTCAACAAAACATAGGCCTCCTCAAATAGCGGACTCCTAAGGCAATCTAGGGAGAATTTTAGCGCCGTTTCAGTGGATGATTGCACCCACGTCGTAGCCTGACCGTCTTGAATATACTTGCTGCGGCGAAGGGGGACATGTCCGCATCCCCGGACGCGTTGCCAACAATCTTGACCAGTCTGAGGAAGCGCCATCGGTCTGTGTTTTGTAGCCCGGTTTCGAAGCCACAAATATGAGAGGCGTACGATTTCGCTCAAGTTGTTTTCGATCCAAGGTTCGGTTTCGGTTATGTTCCTATGCCTTGTATGTATGGACGTACATACCTGTACCGAAGAAGTGTGCACGGTCAAATTGCTAATGACACAAAAGTCAAGCGTATCATGACTGTCGGCGTGGCGGCTTCAGGGATCAACACAAGATGCGACCGTGAGACCGGGAAAAACAAGCATGCCACATCATGAGCTGCTAGAACATAGCCCAAACCCCTTCTTGTTGTCAAAGGTCGGAGGGATCAAAAATGAAATGTTATTACCAAACATCAACCCAGCCCTTCGGAGCTCACACGCTGTCCAGGGTTCGAGGCCCTCATCGTTTCCCAAGTTCTCTTTTAATAAAGTAGCCAATGTGCCCAATCATATCACCGGGGCCGATTTAAGAATGCCGTCCCGGAGAGTGCCAATAAATATCAATGAATCATCTGAGACCAGCGTTGAATGTGCCAGCACAGAGGGGAGCAGGTTGCAGCATAGCGGTTAAATCAATGAAGAGCACCGAATGGGTGACTTTCTGCGCCATGTTATGTGTGGACTCGGCAAGATGGCCGACAAGAAGTCGCATGTAGACCATCCGCGCAGGGACGTTGAACACCTCTACCAAGTCATCTTTCAGATTGATCGTAGAAAAATGTGGATGACACTTTATCCAACTGTCAATTAAATCAGGGT